CGCGATAGGTCGACCCCAGAAGTTCGATCGCTCGCCGCCGAACTACCGGGTAAGTGTAGCCAAGGCCTGAGTCTTGCTAAGTCAAACTCAGTTCTGGTGAACTTTGGCCTGATGATTTTCCTTAGTCGCAGCCAAAAATTTAGCATCACAAGGTTGTGATCACTTCCAATATCAGCACTGGGGAAGCTCCTTGCTTTCCTTCTGTTAATCCCAGAATGAAATCAGTTTTGCACCATCATGTAGTCGATCTGGCTGTGATGTAGACCATTAGGTTCATGCTACTTGATCATCTGACTGCTTTATGTGCTCCTAACGTGTTTGCAAAAGTCTCAATCCTCTCTCATTGATTACCGCATTACTGAAAGGGCCGCAATAATCTCGCCAATTTGTCTGTGCGTCAGTACCCATCATAGGCACCAACTTCCCCTCTGCCCCAGGGGTGCTCGACACCACCCCCACCCCTGGCTCCACCCTGCCCCACCCTCACCCTGCCCCAATTCCACCCCCTTCCCCCAAGTCCCCACCCCTGCCCCACCTCTTTACCAACTCCTCCCCATAGTGCACCACGTCCCCACTCCACCCCCTTCCTCCCATAAAGCACTAAGCACCACCAAACAGCTGTTAGGCAGTGGGCAGAAAGTGCTGGGAGGAGTCCAGGAGGGGTTGAGGGTGGGGGGAGCTTAGCTGCCAGTGGGTGTGGAGCACCCGATAATTTTTCCCCGTGGGTGCTCCAGCCCTGCAGCACCCACAGAGTCGGCATCTATGGTACCCACTTTAGCATTCCAATCTCCCTGTACAATCAGGATATCTTTCTTGTGTACCTTATCAATGATGTCTTGGAACTGATTGTAAAAATCTTCAATTTGCTCATTGTCATAGTCTGTTGTAGGACTGTAGACTTGTACCACTGTGATCTTAAATGGTGCTGCCTTTAGACAGATGGAAATAAGCCTGCTGGACATTGGATCGCATCCTAATACTGAATTCTTGATATCTTTATGCACAAGAAATCCTATGCTGTTGACATGTTTGTCCTCTCCACTGTAATAGAGTACATGGCCTTCTTCTGTTAGTATCTCTCCAAAGTTCTTCCATCTGTCCTCAGAGATTCCTAAGAGGTTGCCGGGTGTATTGTTCCATTTCATAATAAGTTTTTTCAACTTCCATATTTGTCTCAATATCCTTACTTTCCATGTGGCTCTGGTGATGTTATCTCTTCCATGGATTCTCTGTGTTAGGGTTACACTCGTAGTATACTTGTCACGTGCACCCTGGTGGGAGACGGATGGCGCGGTCATTATTAAGTTGGGCTGCGATCAATCCGGTATGGACATGCTCATCATATGGTGTGTCTTGGGCAAATTTCTAACCTGGCAGAGCCCATCCCTCTCTAGGCAGCCCCTTTTAGTTGCAGGATATGCAGGAGGACAGGGGGCCTATTCTGTCCCTGGACACACAGGGGAAATTAGGAAATGACAGAATTTAGGTTGCCTATTGTCAAGGCTGATTCCCTACTCTGTCACTTCGAGTGCAGAAGGTGGGGGCCTGCAAGGACTCTAAAAACTAATACTTGCCACTCCAGGCTTGTATTAAACTTCCAAGGTTACAGTTTTTCTCTGACCTTGGCTGGGTAGATGCTGCCAAATGCAAAACCCCTTGGAACCCAGGAAGGCACACTTGGGAATTCCTTCCTATGGGGTACCCTCAAGCCCTTTCACCCCCCCCCTCCAGGGAAGAGATGAGAAAGGAAAACAAAGAAATCAGCTGTTGCCACCAGCTAATTAAAAAAATATGTGCACAAACCTATTAGGACACCAAAAATCCAATCCTGTTCTTAAAAAAAGGTCATTTTTATTAAAAACAAAGAAAGAAAATACATCTGGATCTTAGGCTTTTACTAGATTTAAAAATCCCACTTATAAAAATTAAACATCAAGAATAAGCTTCTTGAGGTCCAGCTTACAGGTTACAAACAAAACAAAAGCATTTGGGGTTAGCACAGAGGAGTCCACAAGCCTTACAAAATAAAATAAATTAACCTAATCGCATCTTTCTAGACATTTTTGATGTACTTACATATCTGAGTTTCCAAATAAGCAATTCCTAGGCATGATTCTGATGATTTTCATAACTGGCCTTCAGCTTCTCCCAGCATAACTGCTGCCCTGTTCCCCTCTTCCCCGGAGAACAACAGACACAAAGGAAAAGTTTTTTTCCCAATTTTAAAAAGTTGGCTCTTTTGATCAGGTGCCCACTCCTTTCCTTTACCTATGGACTTTTTTTTTAACCCTTTACAGGTAAAGCAAGTAGAGAACAGCTACTAATAGGGATTTTATAGCTAACTGTCTGGCTGGGTGTCCATAAAAGGGAGCTCCCCTCCCTTCATTTATCACACCTATATTAAGACCTATTGTGTGTATGCATTGTGATACAACCTTTAATTATATGATCACATATTAATTTTACCATAGGACCCCTGCCACTTTCAGTGCCCCTTTCCAATCCAACCACATCCTATCCAACCACAGCATTTTTAATTGTGAAAAAGTGAGCATTTCACTACAGAAATAACCTAGACATTTTAAGTGACAGATTTGGAAACTAAATTCAATCCTTAAAAGGTGAAACATGGA